GCAACAAAGCGGACCCGGGGCGAGACCCTCCGCGTGAGGAGCCACATCGGCGGGGCCGAGGCTGACAGCTGCCTCTGACGTCGGGGGCCGGCCAGGGACCCGCCACGGCAGCCCGGGGACAGCGGAGCGCCTTGGGTGTGTGGACACGGCCGCCAGCTCCCCACTGACTGGGCAGCGTGCGTCCCCCAGCTGGGCTCCCACACACAGCACCCTGGCCACACACGGCGCCCCAAGGGCGAGGGGGTGGTCTGGCCAGGCCCCCGCAGCAGGCCATGGGGGGGCGGGGTCGCCCGCAGGGGTGAGGGGGGCGGGGCCGGCTCTTCCCCAGTCACCTCCGCGCTGTCCCTGTGCAGAAACGGGCGCCGGCCGAAACAGGGACCCGGCGTCCACGCCGGACAGGAGCGGCTGGGAGAGCGCCCCGGGCCTGTGTCCCCCGGCCAGCTGTGGGGGGGCCCCTCTGTACCCCAGCTCTGGCCGGCACGAGCCCCCCCCCGCGCCAACCCAACACGGGGGGGGGGCCCCAGGAACTCGGGCTCCCTGCCAGGCCAGGCAGGTGGCTCCGCCCCAGCAGGGGAGACCCTGGCCAGGGCCTGCGGGGGGCGGCTCGGAGCAGCCTGAGCCCAAGGCCTGTCCCGCTCGTGGGGTCACGCCAGGCGCCAGGGTGGGGGTGCCTCTCCCTGAACACAACACAGCAGCGCCAGCCCTGGGGTGCTATCGGCAGCCCCCAGCCTGAGTGAGACCCGGCCAGGGAGGGACCCCAGGATGCAGCAGGCCCCCCCGTCTCCCGCTGCCCCCTCAGCAGTGGGTTTCAGTGGATCCGCCTGCTCTTCTCCCCACTCTTTCTGGGGAGTCCTTTCACCCCCACATCTCTAGCCTGCACCCCAGTTCTTGTGTGCATAATATTTTTTTAAAGATGTATTTATTTATGCAACGAGAACTGGGGTATAGACTAGAGGTGCAGGGGCAGTGAGAAGGCGCCCCAGAGACAGAGCGGGGAGCAGGACAGGCGGATCCACTGAAACCCACTGCTGAGGGGGCAGCGGGGGCCAGGGGGGTCTGCTGCGCCCTGGGGTCCCTCCCTGGCTGGGGCTGGACCTCATGCTGCTGAGCTTCAGCCCACTGCACCACCAGGGAGGGCCATAAATAACTAAATCTTAAAAGAAAAATCATGTAGACGCGGGCACCAACACCACCCAGCCAGACCTGGGGTGACCAAGGCCACGGCTGTGGTCCTCTGCCCCCTTGGGGCACTGGGTACAGGGAGGAGAGTGGGCTCAGCAGGCAGCTCCCACACAAGCTGAGCATTCGTGGGGTTACCTGGAAATGTGCCTGGCCAAAGGCCCCAGCCAGGGCCACCGGGTCTGCTACCAGTAGGGAGCCCCGCTGGGCTCCAGCAGAAGGGGCGTCGCTGGGATCTCCCCCTTCTCTATTTGTCCTTTGGTTTAGTCTCTCCCCCACTCACAGGGCCCGAGGCGCTCTGGGGACCCCCGCCTGCCTCCTCCACCCAAGGCCGCGCTCGCGGGAGTGGCATTGCCAGGCAAAGCCCGAGCAGAGCCTGCTGCCACCCACCCGCTCTCACAGCCACAGCGACCTGCGGGTGCGCGAGCCCCACCCTGCTGCCCCCCCACCAGGGCCCCACCCTGCTGCCCCCTCACCCCCAGGGCCAGCACCCCAAGGAGCAGGCACTTCCCGACTCTGCCTCTGGCCAGCCCCTCCCGCTGTCCCCAGTGTCGAGGACGCCTGGAAGTTTCCCGTCCACTGGTGTCCCCAGATGGGGCCGCTCAGGAAGCCGCCATTGCAGGAGCAGGTGCTGCGCCCGCCCAGGGACCGCGTCACCCCCCGCCCAAGCCGAGGGTCAGCCAGGGTCCCCCCACACTGCGTCCACACTCGACGGGGCTGCTCCTGACCCGACGGCACCGGACACCAGGGGTGTCCTCCCTGCTGCTGCCCGGGGCGAGGGGCTGCGCCTGCGAAGCCAGATGCTGCGGGCTCCCCAAAAAAACCCCCCCAAGCCCCAACCTTAACGGAGAAGAGCCTCCGGGTCGCAGCGCCCCAGCGCACACGAGGGTCACCAGTGCCCACAGGGGAAGGCACGGAGGCCCGACCCGCCAGGCGCAGGGTGTGTGCTGCCCGAGTGCGATGGGGGACAGGAGATGTGAGGGAGGCGCACGCCCCGGGCTGTGAGGGGAGGGGTGTGAAGGGCAGGCATGGGGCCCCCAGAACCCCCAAGCCTGCCCGCTCTAAACAGGCTCCGCACGCGCAGCATCGCAACAAAGCGGACCCCGGGGCGAGACCCTCCGCGTGAGGAACTTTATGCAACGGCCGGGAAGGGAAGGGGCAGCCCCCGCTGGCACCCCGTGTCCCTCCCCCGGGGTA